TGCGCTCGGAGGAGTCGCAAATAACCTGAATGTCTGTTATGCCTGTCATCAGCCAGGACATTTAGCCCGTGATTGCCCCCACCGACCCCCACAACAGCGAATCGGGGTCGCACCTATAGCGGCGGCTCCCATCACTAACGGACCTGGACGAGTCGGAGCTTTGATGGAAGAAATAGAGGGCGGAGGAAGTGCCCTGGCCACCACGGAAGAGGCCGCCGAGCTAATCCTGCTAGATCAGTACGTATTGCTGGGATATCCTGGGCATGGAATGATCGGAACAATCAGACCACCGCCAGAACCGAAAGAGGTGGCGGAGTGGCAACCGTCTCTAGGAGAAATGGGGTCGGGAGGACCCACCTTCGTCACAGGAGAGATCGATGTATTAAACATCATCCGAGCCTTGGACCATCGGATTCCCCTTCCGATTGGTCATCTACTCTCGATCTCCGAGCAAGCCAACGAGCGAATGCTATAGCATTGCAAAGCAAACCGAAAGCGATTCGCCCTCGCCCGAACACCAAATGCAAAAGCCAAAGGCCCCGCGCCAGAAGAAAATCCAACAGGCACTCCGGATCCGATACGGGTGGGTTTAATTCAGAAAGACGATCATTTCTTACGGATTAAACCGATTCCGTGGAAATCCGCAGAATGTGATATTGAAATCTGGGGAATTCCCTATAGCGCAATTATAGATTCGGGAGCAGCTGTGTTGGCGATTTCGCTGAGAGTGGTCGAAGGAAAAACGATCTGATCATGCTCACTGAGAAAGATCAGCTCGTTTCGGCAGATGAGGAAAATATCAAAACTATGGGGAGAATGACCAATGTCGCCTTTCGATTAGGAAAAGTACACGCGCTTGGGGATGTCGTAGTACTAGATGTTAATACGTACGACGTTCTTTTCGGACTTCCAGCTCTTGTGGCGTTACGAGCGAACTTGGATTTTGAGCGACGATCGATCGTCCTCCGAAATACAGGAGGAAAACCCTACGCTGTGCCCATGCGATTGACCCTTCGCACTACTATTAACGCGGTTCCGCGGGTTTCGCCGATGATGGCAGAGACTCTCCGCATGATCTCCTGGGATGAATCCACAGAGGGAAAGCCATCAACAGATGATGCGGAAAGCAGTGACGAAGATGATCCGGAGATCTTGAAATTGGTACGACAACGCGTTTGCTACCCGCCGCCCAAAACGAGAGCAAGAACGATGCAACTGACCAGCCGAAAAATTCAAAGGACCAAGGCAACGATCTTGGGTGAGCCCCTCGTGCAGATTTCGAGGATGATCGACTCTTTGGAACCCCCTCAAACTCTGTACGAAGGAATCACCCCTCTCCTCGCCAGGTATAGCGACAAAAAACATTTTTGCGACATTACGAAATTACCTAAGTCTTTATTGACATCTACTAAAAAAGTAAGACTGTTACGCTTGGGGGCGGAAGCAAGCTCTCTAAAACCCCTTGGGCGTTTCGAGGCAGAAGCAGACGAACTGGGGATAAAGATCGCAACTAAGAACGTGCCATGGCAGGATGTTTGTGACGGGATTACCCCGGAAGGAGACGTGGCAATCCTGGAAGACGACACCCAGATGATGGCCACGGTGTTCTCCTGGCGATCGGACCATTCGTTCATCTCGGCGCCTCCGCCCGACGTGGCAAAATAGACACGCACGAAACAGCTGGACGTTCGGATCGGGGATCAACTTTTTGAACTACACGTTCCACAGTACGTGCCGGATGAAATCCACCGCGTGATTGCGGACATTCTAACCGAATATCAAGGAGCGATTAGCGTGACAGACACTGACATTGGTTTGTCGTTAGTGATCCAACATGAAATTCAGACAGGAAATCACTCCCCGATTCATTGCAAACCTTACCGGTATTCCTTGATTGAATGCAAAAAGGCTCCCGAACGAATTCGGGAATTCGAAGCCAACGGCTGGATTGAACCCGCCACCGGACCTTGGTCCTTTCCCGTAGTGTTAGTGCCAAAGAAAAACGGAGCGATTCGCATTTGCATTGATTATCGCAAACTGAATGAAATCACAATGAAAGATGTGTATCCCCTCCCCCGGATTGATGATTTGTTGGATGCGATTGGATGCGCTAATTATTTCAGCAAGTTTGATATTCGACATGGCTTCCATCATATTCTGGTTAAAGAGGAAGATCGTCCGAAGACGGCCTTTGTGTTGTTTGAGGGCACGTGGCAATGGGTTCGGTGTCCAATGAGGATTTGCAATGCGCTTGCCACGTTTCAGCGAGCGATGAACATGACGTTCCAGAACTTCGTCAACAAGACACGGCTGACGCAAGGGATGATTAACTTCTGCGTGATCGTGTACATGGACGACATCCTGGTCTATTCGGAAACCTATCACGGGCACGCGCAACATATCGAATGGACATTGGGCGCGTTGAGAGACGCTGGGTTCAAGATTGCGCTCGAAAAGAGCGAATTTTTCCTCTCGAAAATTTCATTCTTGGGCTACGTCGTGACACGTGGAGGATTGCGGTCGGACTCGAGAAAAGTTGCGGCAGTGAAAGAAGCCCCGGTTCCCACGTCACT